AACTATATAGCTGAAATCGAAGAAGTTGAATTAGAAAAAACTTTTAATCCAAATATTAATACTGATGTGCAAATATCCGAAATTGAAGAACCTAATACTGAAAGCTCAGATCGTTATACTTCTGATGTCTGGCATTATGTGAATAAAAATGATCCTAAATGTCGTTATTGTTTAACATGTAAATTTATATTTTCACCAAAAACTAGTACATCAAGTATACGAGATCACCTTGTTAAGCATAATCTATTAACTCAAAAAAGTCCTGTTCAAATGCATTCTGAAAAAGAACAATTAGAATGATCAATGCTTTTAGTCAAATGGATTATTAAAGCAATGCAATCTTTTTCCGTTGTAGATGATATTTCATTTCATAATTTTTTAAATAAACTTGATCCCTTATTTGTAATTCCAAAACATCAAGCAATACATAACAAGATACTTGAAATGTTTACAACACAACGATCTAATATTAATTTAATAATTAATAATATTCCAGGAAAAGTTTCAGTTACAACAGATCTTTGGGCTAATCTAAAAATGGAATGCTTTATCACACTTACTATTCATTTTGTTAATAGTGATTGGAAATTATGTCATTTTACTTTAGATATTATGAAATTTCAAGGATCTCATACAGGTATAGCAATTAGTAATTATATATTAAAAGTTTTAGAAGAATTTAATTTAAGTTCAAAAATTGTCACAATTACAACTGATAACGGTTCAAATATGGTTTTAGCATGTAACAAAATAAAGCAACAACTTAATCCTAATAACGATCTTAATGGATTTTCTCACTATCATTGTATATGTCATATTATAAATCTTTCTGTTAATGATGGATTAAAAAAAGTAGATATTTTAATTAAAAAAGTGCGCCAATTAGTAAAAGTAATACGAAACTCATATTCATATTTAGAAGATTTAGAATGATATCATTTAGTAGATAAAAAAACTTTTCTCTATCCAATTCTTGATATTAAAACACACTGAAATTCAACTTTTATTATGCTTCAACAAGTTCAAACCTTTAAAGAGTATCTAGATATCATGACTATGCGTCATTCATCATTAAATGATTTATATTTGTCTTCAAATGAATAGAATCAAATTAATGATCTCATAAATTTATTAGAACAATTTTATATAGTTACAAAAGAATTATCATCTCAAAATTATCTTACTATTGCTTATGCGTGCATAATTTTACTTAGTATTTGTTCGGATTTGAAAAATTATAATAATGAGGATAATTTATTAAAAGAAATTTCTATATTAATTTATAATAAATTACAGGTTTATTGGGGATATCTTGATGAGATTTCACATGTGGCTGCATTTTTAGACTCACATTATAAGAGATATTGTTTTCCAGGAAAAACAATTGAAGAAATTCTTGATCCAATTCAACGTAGACTTCCTACAACAAGTTTAAATACAACATCTGCTTCAAAAATGTCAATATTTGTAACACGATTAGCTCAACATCCAATAAATTATTCTATACAACAAGTAGATGAAGTACAACGTTACTGGCATTTACCTCCATATGAAGATAGTATTGAACCTTTAACATGGTGGAAAATGCATCAAACTAAGTTCCCATTATTATCTAATTTTGCACGAGATTTTTTATCAATACAAGCAAGCTCAGTTCCTTGTGAACAGTTATTTTCAATAGCTGGAATGGTTATTAGTAAAGCCAGAAATAGATTATCAAGTGAAAGTGCATGGGCATGCCTGTGTTTAAAGAGTTGGATAGACAAAAATATTTTTTCTTAATTTTTTTTTATTATATATAAACAGATTCTAATACGGTAATTAAAATTTTTTTCAAATTATAACTTTATTAATTTTTCGATTTTTGAATCGCTAAAGTTTGATGTAAGCCTTTTTTTTTTAAAGCATTGTAAAGCGAAAATTTATGTTAATATATTTTTATGATTTACGTAATTATTACTTTCTTACTGTTTTCACTATTACTTCATTTTTTATTTAACGCATTATTACTTAATACTTACTAGTTGTTTTCGCTATACATTACTTTGACCATTTGTCTAATTCTGATATAATCAAACATGCTTTAAAGATTTGTGCAGTATAAAAGTAAATATAATAAATTTGCTAATGCTATGGTTTTATCATTATGTTAAATTCAGCATAACTGTAACTAACGATGATTAAAACCATATATATACTAATGTTACTCTGCATCCCATGTGATTGACTTTTAGTCGACTTGAGTCGACTTAGGGGTAAAAGTTGATGCAAGTCAAGTCAAAGCCAGTCGAGTCGAGTTATTAGCATCCCTAACTATAACGAACACTAGGTATAATAAATTAAAATTTTATATTAGCTCAGTATAAAAAGAGCTATGGTTTCTTAAGAAAATATAATTTTTATATAGCAAATCTTTTTTTTTGCAAAACCAATGATTTGTTATAGAAAGAGTTGAGAAAATGCGGTAAGCACTTTTTTATTTCAGAGTCATAAGAAATTAATTTTATTCTAACAAACCTTTTAGTACGTTTAATTCCTTTATTACGGCAGATAGTTTTCTTAGGTAGCTAATTTATCTGAACCCGGTCATTTGATAATTAATTTTGATTTTTTATGTAAATGATAATCGATATGAAATAACACAAAAATTCAACTTGGATATTTATAAAAAATTAGCGAATACTTTATTTCATGTTATATCACGATTCTTATATTAAAAAATTAATTTAACATTTTTAAATTATAATGAATGTATTGTTTTCACTATTGTTAGCAATTGCCTTATTGTTTGTTGATATATACTAGTGTTAAAATTCATTGTACTGTACATATATTATTATTTGCACTATATTAAAATAGGGTGTACAAATGTGCTAGTACATCAAATTAACCAGACAGGGTTCTAAGTAGGATTTGAATGATAGTATTAGTTAGGTTTATGCACTTAACAATGTTTCCTATAACATATAAAAAAATTTTTTAATACTGCATATTTCGTGAAATTTTTAATACTTGTTATTGTACATTGTTTCTGTTTTATTTCATGCTATTCTTGATATAATAATGAAAATAATAAAAAAAATATATTAACAATATAAATAAAATAATAAATTAATAAGATCTTATATAAAATCTGTTTAATTATTGCACATTATGTAAGTTATATTGAACAAAACTGCAGATGTGTATTATTATAAATTTCAAAAGCATTGTTAGGTTTATGATTGTATTGGAATAAAAGTAGACAAGTTTCTAAAATACTATAAATAAAAAAAATATGTCTTAATACATATTAATAATAAAAAAATTGATATATTTAATAAAGAATTTGATTTTAAGTAATAATAAAACTAGCAAATAAAAATATCTCAACTTTTCTTAATTACTTAAATACAAAAATAAGTAAAAAAAAAATAAACATTCTGTATAATCAATAATAAAAAACATTTTAAGAATATTAAAGAAAAAGAAGCAACAATAAAAAAGACATTAAACAAGTTTATAAACTAAGAGTATGCAAGTGTTAACAAAGCAGTTATAAGAAAAAGTTTAGTTTTTAAAAAAGTTTTAGCAGAAAAATAATAATTATAAAGAATTGCATTTGATCTTATATATAGATCTGTTTACATTAAACAAATAATATATAGAAGATTAAGCAAAACAAATATATATAAAATATCAAACTAGAAAAAATAGTCAAATCATTATAAAACAATAAACAAGTAAAATACAATAAAGCAAATGATAAAATATTTTAGAAAAAAAAACAATTATATAAATATATAAAAGTTTGTCAGAAGAATATAAAAAAAAGTCTAAAAACAATCTTTATAAAAGAGTATATTTGGCAATGAATAGTATATACAATAAAATTTTTTTAATAAAATAAATAAAACATATGCAATAACTAATAAAAAAAATAAAATTATAACTATGTTTATAAAATAAAATTCAAATAAAGTAACTTTTTTACAAATAACAAGAAAAATATTAAAAAAAAACAGAAAAGAATAATTAGAAAAAAAACTAGATATTATAAAACAAAACCAAGATATAATAATAATAAAAGAAAAAAAAATAACAACAAATAGCTGAAATAAGAAAAAATTAAAAAGAATTATATAAAGTGTCACCAAAAAGAAAAATAGAAAATAAAGAGTCTAATAAAAAAGATTTATAAGAAAGTACTAAAACTTTACAGAAAAAATAAATATAAAAGTAAATTAGATAAATAATAATCAAATAGAAGTAAAGCTATTTATTTAAAAAAGTAAAGTAAAAAAACAAATAGAAGAACAAAAATAAAAAAATATAAAGATAAATAATAAAAAAAAATAAAAAAATAAGTAAAAGAATAAAAATAAAAAAATATAAAGATAAGTAAAAAAGAATTAATATAAATTAATTCCAATTCTTTATAATAATCCTCTACACCAATTTTTTCATATATACTGACCTATAAAAATTATATAGTTAGTATGTTTATATATAACAAAACTTTACCATATAGCATCTGAGTTTAAGAGTTTCAGATTGCATATAGGTCATATGAAAAAAAGTTGAAAAAGACAGCTTCTTGTAGGTTTGGCTCTCTGGTAGAAGTTTATGAAGTTATTAAAAAAATAACTTTGGTTATAACTAAGGAAGTTTTTGTCAAGTTATATCTAAGCAGCAGCAAAGATAGAGGCCTGGTTGGATATACTATTCTGTATAATATAAACTTCTATACTTATTACAGTTGGTGCTTTAAAAAATTCTTTTTCTACTTTTTTCTAAGAAATTTTTATCAAAAAATGTTTTAGTAATAATAAGATCTGTTTCTTGCAAATAAATTTTAGCAAAATAGAAAATATGAATCTGATTCATTTTATACTAAAATCTAGCATTTCTGGTTAACTTAGTATAATGTCTAATTTGGATCTACAAGTTATATATAGTTAGAGTTGTAGAAAACATCTATACTGACTTTGTAAGTATATAAATGTTCAAGTTTACAAAATCATAGTTTCTTTGTAATATTTTCTAAATTATGCATTTTGTTTCTTAGTTTAACATATTTGCATAATTTGCATTTAACTAAGATTCTATATTCATCATCTTGGATATAATAATACTGACTTCTGAGATCATTATGATCAAGACTTTAGTAAAAGTCAGTATAGCAACCTTTATAAACAAGAACTTTATTTAATTTTTATAAGATTTCTGATCTTTGAAAGTTCTTGCAATAGCAGTAATAATGGATATGATGATTATTATGATAATATTGTCTTTGGGCTTTAACTTTTTTAGAGTTGCAT